CTGTGAGTGAAAATATATCTGTGCTAATCATATACTCAGCCTCCAACTCACACACTGGTGAGTAAAATCTAAGAATTTATTAGCCATTGGCTAATATTAGACATCATTTAGTCGCCCAGAGTGAAGATTTAGTCGCATATGCGAGTGATTTACTCGCAATGTATAGGATTGATCCATAATATTTTGCTTCATTCAATGAAAGTCATCTCGTCTGAATCAGGAGAGAAATCTGCACAGATCAAGCACCGTTTACAAGCAAAAACAGTCCAAAACAGTTCTAAACAAATATCTTGGTGGATTTTGATGTGAGAGGATAAAAGGGGAAGGACTTTTTTTACTGGTGGAAGCGTTATTATAGATTATGGGTCGCCAAAAGCGACTGTTTAAAATTAAAACACCTTAATGATGAATTGGTTTCTTATTGGTACATATAGCTTTTCACTTCACAATATGTTAATTGATGGACCAGAGTCTTGTGGATTATTGTGATGTTTTTATCAGCTGTTTGGACTCTCATTCTGACAGCACCCATCGAGGAAGCGCGACTCTGCCGATCAGCGCGTCAGGAAGCTGCAGACAGAGCAGCGATAATCATGTAATCACTGTGTCGGAGGACGAGGTTCGGAGGACCCTAAAGCGCTGTCCATGGAGCGGACCTGACTTACATTTCACTGCTGGTCATATATTCTCTATATAACCATGTATGTGACAAATAAAAATCCTGAATCTTGAATCTTGAATTTACTGCAGAGGATCCATTGGTGAGCAAGTGATGTAATGCTAAATTTCACCAAATCTGTTCCAATACAGAAACAAACTCATCTACATCTTGGATGATCTGAGGGTGAGTACATTTTCAGCAAATACTCATTTTTGGGTGAAATATTCCTTTAATTTTGGGTGATCTATCCATTTAAGTACATGTGCACAGTGGTGACTGCACGTTGTTGGTTTAGCTATGGCATTAAATTAATATTTACAGCATAACCATAAAATGCTGTGCATTATAATAACAGCCTCTTGGTAAGACACTGCGGCTGAATCCAATTCAATCAGTCTTAACCTTGAGCAGTCAGAACCTTCTGCTCAAAACCTGTAGCGCAGCATCTTCGGCCACTAGAGCATGTCTGAGCTGCATGTTCATAGCGCCACACTGAATCAGCACAATGTAACAAATACATAAATTATTAAATGACTCCACTTTATATTCCCTTATCAGAGAAGAGCAGACAGTAAACCAATTTAATCCAAATAAAGTGTCTACCCTTTCAGTGCAATGAAAAGCATCCAAGGGCGGGGAAAATTAAGCATGCGGAATAAACAAGCACAGCCCTCGTCCATTTTTTGTCCTGACACTGAAATGCATGCACTTTGGGAAAATACACAACGTTTTTTGCATCGTCATTATGGGATGTTCGAGTATTCTCACTGTAGTACGGATTACGAGGAGTTAATTATTGTCACTAGATTTTTTTTAGTTAGTTTAGAATTACTTTGGTTATTCATTCATGTTGCATTGGAGTCACGGATTCAACTCTATTTCAGCTACCAGTGCATCAAGCATATCCCACTGTACTTGTGGAGGACAAAAATATATCGGGTATCAGACCAAGTGTGGTTTTGAAAATAAATCTTTCCGCAGCCCCCTCTGGCTACCTCATGACATGAACAAGAGAGGGCATTCATTATTAATTTACTTTGGAGAGAGGGATTGATTTGGCATCGAAGGTCTATAGAGGAAAAAAAAAGCTATAATATATAACACTGGATTACCTCCAAATAACATTACTGTCAGGGAGTTAGTGTACAGCCAAGACAGAACATTGCTGCTACCTGGACGGTAAGGATGTATTGATTTTTGTCCCAAACACACACACACACTGTCACAGACTGTATGTGAGGCTGGGTGTTGCATACACTGTCGACACAGACAGACGGAACAACTTGATTGTTTTTATGTTTCAAAGTACAATGCTGGATGTACGGTGTACAAATTGTGCTCCCGAGGGTCTGTGCACGCTTTTTCTCTCGCTTCAATTTCTGATTATAATTGCTGACTCATTTCTCCTTCACTTCCCTAAGTGCATATTGAGGGTGATAAAGTTATTTTCAATCATTTTGAAGTCTTCAAGCGCACAAAATACTAATCAATTATTTCATTAGGAGATTTTAAATGCACTGAAATTAACAACTTCACAGCTCTGAAATATAATGGTAAAGAAAATTTCAATGTTTGGAGGAACAAGAGGTTCAGAAGAGTGAGTACTTTGCTATGCAACTCATAGCTGAAATGGAGCTTCGGTTCACGGACTGATTAGTGCCATAAGGCATTAGTTTGCTCCCTTTAACCACATCACATGGTAAGGGTTTGCATTACTATAGAGATCTCTCAGCCTCTTGGCTGGATCGTGAGGTGAACGAACTTTACAGGCCACTTATAAATGCCTTTATCAAAAGTATGCATTTCATCCACTGACTAAAATAGTCATTTTATTGGAAAGTTTAGCAAAATATGAGAGATTTCAGTTCACTTCAGTGCTTAAATGATGACCATTTAAGGGTTTGAAAGGGATCATATTAAAAAAAGCTGAATTTTCCTTTTGGAATTTCATCTTTTGAAATCAAACAGATTGACGTACTATGTAAAAATACAAAAATGTCAGGTCTGCATAGACATCTAAATATCTTTAGATCTTTTGTATAGTTTGTATGGCACAATTGGTGCAAATTATTTTAGAATGTATAAAGCAATGGTATGAGGCAGTGGTAATTATATTAAAACTGAAGGCAAACCACAAACCCATAACGAATCATTGTCACTCATTTCAGAAATTAGTTTACAAGTCTTAAAATGATAGCAACATTTCGGCAAACATCTAACATGGTAAACAGGCATGTAAAAAAAAACTCGACAAATATTAAGTGGTCTCTACACAACACAAAAAAAGGTACAAAAGCTGTAACTGGAGCAGTACCTTTTCAAAAAATACTAAATACCATTTAGGTACAAATATACTTTAGGTACTAATATGTACTTTTAAAGTATCAACATGCACCCTTTAGGGGTAAATAAGGTACAAAGGTGTACCTTTTGAAAGGGTACTGCCCCACTGACAGCTTTTGTACCTTTTTTTCTGAGAGTGTAAGAAAAAAACATTAAATTCTAAAGAAAAAAAAATTCTTACATTTGTCATTGAAATGTAGAATAAATTTTGTTATAAACTATATATATGAAATTGTATATAAATTAGCCATATAATTAATATACTTACTACACATATACAGTATAATTAAAATGATCATATATTATAATGAAAAATATATTATATATAGAAGTAAATACAGAAAAAAAAATACTTGCTCTGCTTTACGGTTTCAGTACCGTTAACCTTTTGACTACCTGAAAAAAGTAGCTGTTGGAGAGCAAGCATCCTGTTCCAGCTAAAATAATAAACTGGTAATATGCGGCACATATAATAAAAGTGTTCTGTGTAAAGTATTTATCCGGGTACGAGTCCCAGTTTTAAAATCCAGCATGTCTCAGAAGGCACCGGAAGATGTGCATTATCTGTGTACTTCTGCTCTCTCTGGGCTTTGAAATAGGTATTGGAACAACTGTTAAGGGAACTGGAGCCCTCTCCTATCTCTCTGGAATGGGTAAAAAAAACAAAAAACTATTGACATTGTCAGGACTCACTACTGTTTCTTCTTGCTGTGACCATTTGCTGTGCAAACACACACACAATTTCTATCTTGTTGTCTGGGCTTTTGTCCTTCTCTGTCTCTCAATCTCACTCACAATGTGATGAAAGCAATATGAGAGGGTACACATTTTGATATGATTTTCTGCGTCCATAAGATTGTGCACTCATGATACTTAGATTGCAGTGATGGCAGTCAGGCTGAACCAAGCTGAGCGGAGCAAATTACCTCTCTGCTGGTCTGTCTAACACAAGGCCAAACCACCCGAGGCATCCTTCTGGCCCTGCCGATATTCACGTCCACCCAGACATTTGTAAATAGTTGCAGATGAGGCTGAATTAGTAACATACTGGTCTAAATACATGGAAAATTGGTTGGCTCTGCTCACGTAGATTCTTGGATATTATTGATTAGATCATATATATATATATATATATGGCCTGTCCTGAATGAATTTAAAAACCTTTTCCGCATATGTTTCTGTGATTTACACTAAAATCACAAAAGTGTGTTGCAATTTAACCACCATAGAGCAACAGATCTAGGCCTAAACTTAAAAACATGCCCGTGTGGCACAAGAACGAGATGGCTCCAGTCCTCCCTAAACCTCAACAAGCCACAACACATGTTCATACCACACAAACTAGCAATTGTGCTCTAATTGCATCTTCAAAAAGCATGACAGTCACCTTGTTACAATCCATGCCGTGAACCAAAATTAGAAACAAGCGAAACTACAACTGTGCAATTAATGAATAATTAAATAATCATTTGGATTTGCTTTGGTAAGAACGAAGTGTGACCGGTCCGCTGTGTGTTCACACTGATCTGAAGTCAGCGAACCTCTGTGGCGCACGGCGCAGGAGGATTACAGCTTAGCTGAAAATCACCTTGTCTTTTAGAGTGGTGTCACGCAAATGAAGGTGCCCTTTGCAAATAATACCCATTAGAATTTCAAAGTCATTGAGTTTCGGCCTGAGAGGGTGACGGAACTGAATTCACATGCCCTCCCGCTCAGTACCAGCCTCGCTCTGGTGAACCAGACTAGTCATTAGGGAATAGCTGACAATTAACATTCAGCTCATTTCATGCCTTACAGAGACATGCTTTTTTTTAAAAAAGGTTTTCAGGTGTACTCTTACTTTCGCTTTCAATATTTGTGTACATGTGTGTTTTACAATGAACATCCATATCATAAACTTCCTTCAATCAAAATAACATATTTTGTGACATTTCATTATTTGAACAAACCACTTGTATAACTGCTCCTATAGGCCATTTCAGAAGACATTTTCCTGAATGAATTTGTGTTTTTGAACTAATCGGTTGAGTGAATGATTCAATGAATCACTCAAAAAGAAAGATTCAATTAAATCGATTGAATAAATAATTCAATGACTTAAGGTGGTCGCACACCGGATGAGAAGCGCTTCGCGTCGCGTCACGTCTAGATCAATTCACACAACAAGTACAACACGACGTAGCTGGGCGCCATGGACAGACGCCGAACGGCGCCACAGGTTTGCGTAAACTCATAGAAAACAATGTGTTTGAATTTTAAAGACGTGGTGCGACGTGGCAAAAACCTTCAGAAAGGTTCACTGAAAAATCCCAGGAGTTTGGAGTCTGTGTAAAGTCTGTGGATGCTTTTATTTGATGAAAATACAGTAAAAACAATAAAACAACTGTTTTTTACTTTAATATATTTTAAAATGTAATTTATTTCTGATTTCTGAATTCAAATAAATATTCAACGAAACAGCATTTATTTGAAATACAACTCTTTTGTCACAATGTAAATGCATTTTGATCAATTTAATGCTTCCTTGCTCAATTAAAGTATTCATTTCTTTACAAAACAAAATTCTTACTGACCCCAAACTTTCAAACACTAGTTGAAATATATATTTGCTGTATATATTAGTGTTTTCCAAAGAAAAGCACCACTCAGTTTTTCTTCAGAAAACATAAAAATCTATTTTGTGTTTCAAAACAGGCACACTATAACACTCTATGTTACAATCCCATGCCAAATGAAGCCTACCCTACACACACTGCAATGTAGAGCACTCAAACCTAAAACAGTGTAATTCTCCACAGCTCTGCCACTGGTCAGGAAAAACAGATCATAGGGTAAACTGCAGGTCAGGCCTAACAGCCATGTAAAGCCTATAAATAACAGCCACAGCTTCCTCTTCATCGATCTTCATTTACTATACCTCCTTCCCACACATTTCCAGTGTGACACGGTTTAATTGGCTGCACGGGGAGGTCTATGACCAAACCATTGTTAGGACAATTATCTGAGTCACTCTGAAAAAGGTTATTAACTATCTCAACTAAAATGGTGTAAGGCCATGAAATAAAAGCACCCTGAACAACTAGTTGGCTTTTTACTTTTTTTCATTTACAGCATAGAAAGAATGGAGCAGAAATCATATA